GCGATGTCCAGAGGGCAGAGCACACTCTGCCCAGGCTTTTTTTTTTGCAAGCTTTCACTTTAGATTGTGTAAGGAGCCAGAGAAGGGTTGCTAATCTGAGTGGGACAGCTTAGTGGGGTCCCCATATCAGAGACTCTGCAGAGATCACTGCAACTTGTTTCTGGCTCTGCTTTTCCCCCTATTCCTGGGGACCAACTACTTTTTGGAATTGAGGCATTTGGGACCTCAGCATTGGATTCAGAAGCAGAGAATTAGGCTGTGAGAGCAGTGTGGGGAAGCTGCAAATTGTGAGGGCAGGTTTGGGGCCTGCTGGGGTCCTTGTGACTCTGACCTATCTCCAGCTGCTGTGTTTAGAGACGCTCCAGGAAGTCACAGCCTGTCATAGGTGGGAAAACAGAGGAGCAGGTAAGTTGGCTTTGAAGACACCTGTGACCTAAGAGAGGAAAACCAGGGAGAAGCTGGTGGCAGGAAGAAGCAGAGGATGAGGTGGTGCAAGAGGCAGTGGTGGGTGGGTAGGTGGAACAGTCTTGTTCTGGGAAGACCCAGGAGAAGCTTAATGAGGGTTATTCCTTTATTCATGTGTTTTAATGATATTGCTGTATCATTTTCTTGGACTAGGCTCTGTTCTAATTAAGTGTAGTGACTATAAATTTGCATCATTTTCATTACAAACTTGGGGGGGTAGATGTTGTAACTATGCCCATCATACAGATAAGGAAACTGAGGCCAAGAAGGTCATGGTGAGGGTGGTTGAGCCTGGAGGGCAGCCTACAAGTTGGCTCCCTGAACTTTCCCTTCCCAATAGCACAGATTGCCTTCTCCCTGCTCCTTCCAAATAGTAGGTGGCTTGGGGGTCTTTTCTCTGACCAGGCCTCATTATCTCTATGCTCTGTCACCAGTAAGGGTCTGTTATCTCTCAGGCAGAAATCTTTCTTAAAGAAGAAGAAGGCAAGGACAACCCTGTTGGTGGGGGAAGTGCTTGACACCTGCCAAATGCAGTGTCATGTCCTGAGCCCACAGTGAAAGGGACTGGGATGAGATTCAGGTTTAGGTGAACTCCACATCTAAAAAGCAGGACAGGATTCTGGGCTCCTGTGATGGTCACCACAGCCTCCTTGAGGATGTGTCTGTCAATGACACTGTCCAGGCCAAACCTGGGCATAACTAGGGGGCAGAACAAGTGAGAAGCAAGAGCTGAAAGTCCTTCATGATGGGAGCCCTGAATCTGAGCCCTCCTTTCTTGGGGATCATGGGTGTTGTGGAATAACAGAGAGGCATAGGAATGGCTTCCATAACAGAACTCCAGGTATGGAAGGAAAGAGCCTGGTGTTCTGGGCCAAATAGAGCTGCCCTGTGGTTGAGGTGGGAAATGTAGGAACAGTTTCTTACCAGGTAAATATAATGGTTTCCTGGTCCCACAGTCTTCCCAGAAGAGCTGGAAGGATCCCAGGCTCAGCTGTTTGTCAGTGTCAGCATTGTGGGGGGCCGAGCACCCTGTTAGTATGATGAACCAATAGGAAATGCTTTGCTCCAGCAGGGGACTGCTGTCCAGCCCTGAGTCCTGTTCTCTATGCTGAAGTGCTGGAGCTCTGGGCTGGACCTGCCTCCTGCCTGCAGGTCATGGCCCTCATCCCCATCTCTCTCCCCAGCTCTAAAGATATGGAAGGGCACTGCAGTCACTCCTTGCTCTGCTGTCTCACTTCCCTGCTTCTCCTTGTCCAGCTGTCCATGGGTGAGTGTCCCCATCTGTCTTCCTTTGTAGTTTTAAACAGCAAGATATAAAGACATTTGAAAATACATTTTTTCTCATTTTAAAAAATTTCGTACCTTTTTTGATGCTGCAAGCATCCATTCATTCATTTTATTCCTGAAATATTTTTTATATTGGCTGCTCAAAACATTACAATGATCTTGACATATCATGTATCATCCATTTCATTTAAATGGGGTATGAATTATTATTTTTACCATGTGTACTGATTGCAGAATCACATTGGTTATACAGCCACGTTTATACATACTGCCATACTAGTGTCTGTTGTATTTTGCTGCCTTTCCTATCCCTTTCCTATGTCCCCTTCCCCCCTCCCCTCCCATCATCTCTCTACCCCATCTACTGTAACTCACTTCTCTCTCTCTCTTTTTCCCCCTTTCCCCTCACATCCTCTTATATGTAATTTTGTATAACAATGAGGGTCTCCTTCCATCTTCCGTGCAATTCCCCTTCTCTCTCCCATTCCCTCCCACCTCTTGTCCCTGCTTAGTGGTAATCATCTTCTCATGCTCTTCCTCCATGCTCTGTTTTGAGTCACCCTCCTTATATCAAATAAGACATTCAGCATTTGTTTTTTAGGGATTGGCTAAATTCACTTAGCATAATCTGCTCTAATGCCATCCATTTCCCTGCAAATGCCATGATCTTAGTATTTTTTAGTGCTGAGTAATATTCCATTGTGTATAAATGCCACTTTTTTAAATGCATTCATCTATTGAAGGGCATCTAGGTTGGTTCTACAGTGTAGCTATTGTGAATTGTGCTGCTATGAACATTGATGTATGTGTATCCCTGTTGTATGCTCTTTTTAGGTCTTTGGGGAATAGTCCAAGAAGGCAAATAGCTGGGTCAAATGGTGGTTCCATTCCAAGCTTTCCAAGGAATCTCCATACTGCTTTCCAAATTGGCTGCACCAATTTGAAGTCCCATCAGCAATGTACAAGGGTACCCTTTTCCCCACATCCTTGCCAGCACTAGTTGTTGTTTGACTTCATAATGGCTGCCATTCTTACTGGAGTGAGATGGTATCTTAGGGTGGTTTTGATTTGCATTTCTCTGACTGCTAGAGATGGTGAGCATTTTTTCTTGTATTTGTTGATAAGAATCCACTAAAGAGAAAGAGAGAAATAAAAATAGGTAGAATAAAAGAAAAGGGGAAAATATTGAAAAGAAAAGAGGAAAAAAAAAAAGATAAATGCAGTCTTAGAGTTCTATTTTTTTCTCTTCCAGTAGGTGGAGTTGTGCCCTCCGGGCTAAGCTTTTGCCCTCAATATGCTGGAAACAATCCCTGTGAGGTGGCTCCTCTTCCCCAACTGGGAGGTTCACCAATCCTGGTTGCCCAGGGCCATTCCTGGTCTCTAGCCCCCCTGCTTCTCCTCCCAGCCAGGCCCCACTCAGCGGTGCCATTCTCCACAGAACTAGCTACACTCCCGACCTGCAGCCCCCTGGGTACCCTGTTCTCTTGAACCAATGGGCACTCTCTCTGTTTGCCATTCACCCAGGCCCCAAGGTTGTGGAGTGTGGGGGCTGAGGGCCATCAGCTTGTTTTGCCTGATTCTCTCCAGTAGCCACCCCCCCCGGAGCTGGCGGAAAAAGGCCTTGGCTATTGCCACTGGTGGCAGGGGGAGTTGGAGGTCAGGTGCCCCTCCTGTTTCCCTCAGCTCCCATAATCACACTCAGGGAGAGCTGGGTAGAGATTTTTGAGATTTCTCAGCTGTATGGAGAGGGAAGGCTGAGGGTCACACACCTGTGGTCGCCAATTTCACTGTGGAGCAATCCATCTGTGGAACTTTGATGACGTCAGTTCTCTGCCGTGGTGGACACCAGTCTCCTTGCTGGGTGTCCAATGAGAAAGGTGGGTCTGGTCTGTCTCTCCTAAATCTATTCCTCAGATCTCGGTCCGCTGGCCCATGGAGGCTCCGTTGGCACCTCCTCAAAAGATCCTCAAATGTCCGAAGTTTTGTTTCTCTATGCCGCTCGAATGTCTCTGTAGCGCTGAGTTGCGACAGGTCAGTGGCAGGTCGGCGGCGGGTCGCCAATCAACCAGGCAGTATCTCTGTGCATGGGGTGGCCTGGATTCACCCGGGCCCAAGCACGCTGTGGCCTCTGAGAAGCTCAGAGTTTGGGTTTCATCTCAGCCCAACTTTGCTTGATGTTCCTGAGCAGACAGCATCCAGTTGTTCTGAAGTCTCTCTGCCAGCATAGCTGAGGAGGTCACAGGAGTGCTCTCTCTGCACCCATCGCTATGTTCCTTCCTGAAATATTAATGAAATGTTGATTTTTAGGTGCTATTCTCTGAAAGAATCAGACAGAAATTCTGTCATAAATTTTGCCTCCTATCAGGAGAGAGTGAGTAATAAGTGCAACTAGGAAGAGAGGTCTAAGTGTGTTGGAGGAGATGACCGTGATGGGAAATGTAGCAGGGCAGGGTGTGGGCAGGCAGGGGCATGGGAGGCAGGTGTGGGCAGGAAACAGTGTTCAGTGAGGTGGTATTTAGATGGGAACATAACCCTGGAGAAGGAGGAGTGAGTGTAGGACCATTTGGAAGGAGGGTTCCTGCAGGGGGAGGAGCCTGTGCAGAGCTGGCAGTGTGCTGAGGTGTGAGAAAGCACAGAGGYCAGTGTTGCTGGACTAGAGCCCATGGGGAGAGAAGCAGCAGGTGAGTTCAGAGCGGTCTTGGGAAGGAGGGTCCATCTTGTCAGGTGTGGGGAGAATTGGGGAGCCATGTGGAGGCTTTGAGCAGAGCAGCAACATGGATTAGCTCACATGTTACAAGGATCACTGATGTCAGGAATCCTACTCATCCTCCAGTTGAGATTTAATGGTGGCTGATACCAGAGTGGAGTGGCACAGGTTTTGAGAGTAGCTCTTTGGAGGTCCATTGCAGTGTTTCCTGCAGAGGAGTCATGTGGTAGCCTCAGAAGTTCAAGAGCACAAAGCGGGTGAAGAGTGAGGTGAACTTTCTTCTTGAACATGCAGTGATGGGTGTTTCTGTGAATGACAAGGGCAGGATTTTCACAGCAGCAAGTGTTAGACCAGGATGCAAAGAAAGACCACCATCTCCATTGACATCAAATTAAAGGAAGCTTATAATTTCAATCGGCCGGTGGTTTGCCACTTCCCAAAGTGGGAACAGAAGATAGTCCCTTCCAGCCCTCTAGAAGCACAGCTTTGTAGCCCCAAAGTTACACAAAGGGGTTTTTGAGAACTTACTGATAACAAAACTCTGACAAGCATAACACAAAGGCAGGTTCATATTTTTGTTGGCCCCAACATCAGAATTTATGAAGGCCATTAGAGCCTCTGAGAGTTTTGTTATCTGGCCGGGGAAGGCCAAGATTCATGAGGCACCACTAACGTTTCAGAGAAGGTTGTCATCTGGTCAGGGAAAGTCAGGCATGGGTGAGTTCAAGGCATGGGTAAGCATTCTAAGCAAGTTCAGAAATAGCAGTAATTTATAGGAAAGCCAAAATTAGCTTTTCATGCCTTTGTGGCGAGATGGCTTCCAATCTTAAGAGGGAATTAGGCTGGGTTTATCACAAGTAGCATTTGACTCTGTGATTAAAATGCATATGTATATATATCTTCTCCTTCAGTTGAGGAAAAAAATGTGGACTAAAGTAAAAAATTTAGAATTGGAAGAGGAAATTTCCTGGGTGTGGTTGAATGACCAAAGAGTTCTCACCTTTTGACAGGGCAATTGAGACCTGGGGTTCCCAAGGTGTGCTACCTGAACCCCCCTGGGAACTCCTAACAAATTCACATTCTTTGGCCCACCCCTGATATACTGAATGAGAAGCTCTTGGAGTGGGGACAAGTAATGTGTGCTCTCAAGGCATCCTAGTGATCCAGGTACATGAAAGCTTGGGAACCACTGAATTAGAGATTTCTTCAAGTAAGGGACCAGGAGCTGAGGGCAATGAGGAAGTGTCTTTGTCATCATTTCTGGGCCATATCATAATAGTCAGAAGACTTTTTCTAAATCCATCAGATTGCAGGGGTCATCTCAATTGACCCCTGCCCCAGTGTTCCTGGCCTTCCTGTTTGATGGTGTGTGTTCTCTGTTTTTTGGTATGTGTCTCTGTAGCTGCCCCCCGCCGTGTCTCTGTCCACAGAGCAGTTACAGGTTGTGGGCCCTGAACACCCCATTGTGGCAGTGCTGGGTGAAGATGCCATACTGCCCTGCACCCTAGTCCCAGCCATGAATGCAGAGAACATGGAACTCAGGTGGTTCCACAGCACATTCTCACAGGCAGTGTTCATCTACTGGAACCAACAGGAACAGACTGAGAAGCACATGGCTGAGTACAAAGGGCAGACCTTACTGGTGAGCAACTTCCTCACACAGGGGAAGACTGCTGTGAACTTCCACAATGTCCAGGTTTCTGAAAATGGAATGTACACCTGCTTCTTCAGACATGGAGGCTTCTATCAAGAGGCTGATTTGGAACTGAAGGTGGCAGGTTAGTTACTTGATGTCTATTCTAGAGACCTTGGGATTACTGGGTTTGGTGGGAATATCAGCGATTATCACATTTAGCCATACATTTTATAGGTGAAATAGAGCAAAAAGTGTCTCATTCATTTATTCATTGATTCAATACAAACACTGTTTATTGAGCATCTAAAATATGTGGGGTCTTGTTCCATGCACCAGAGATATATCAGTGTAACAGAGATCCCAGCACTGAGGAGTTCACCTTCTAGAGGCAAAGAAAGAAAAAATCATAATAAATAATTCAGTACAAGATGTTATAAGATGATAAGTACTTAAGACAAAAGACCAAGTAGAATTAAGAAAAGGGCTCAGGATGTAGGCTGGGAAGTGAGGACAAGCTGCAGTGTTTCATAGGGGCTCAGGAAGTCTTATTGACAGTCTGAGCAAGACCCAAAGGAAGTAGGTATTTAGCCAGGTGGATATCTGGGGGGCAAGAGTTTAATGCAGAGGGAGAATCTGCTATGAAATGTTTGAGTTAGAGGTATGGTTGATTATTCTGGGTATGAGGCCATCATGGTTGGTAGGAAGGGTAAAGGGGAGGATGATAAGAAGTGGCAATACTGAAGTAAAGAGATGGTCCTGTCTTAACATCATTCACAGGTGTCAGGATGAGGTCATTAGGAGTGGACACCTGGGCTGCCACAAGAGCCCTGGAGGTTGATCGGCTGGAATGTAAAAAGGCAGAGAGCATACAACATGGTGATTGTGGTTATTTGCATTTGACCAGATAGTTCTTGAGGTTGAGTGTGTGGGCCCTGAGTTATTCAGATGGTGGAGTTTGGGGAGAAGTGTTGGAGAGGAAGGCAGTTACCAGATCAGTAAAGGCTTTGTGTGCTGTGTTATGGAGTTTGAATGCAGAGTAGGGGAAATCCTAAACAGAGCCATGCTGGGAATGCTCATGTTGGCAGCTGTGAATGGATGGATGCAGGGTAAGCAAGAAGGAGGTATGGGGTGCAGTTATGATGTGGAGAGACTGAGTGCCTGACCTGAGGCATGGCAGTGGGGTGGGGGAGAAGGGGTCAGACAGGTTTAGAATCTAGATTCAACTGAATAGATTTATGGGCACAAAGTTTGGAAGGGAAGAGGTGATTTGAGAGACTTCCAGAGTTTTATTTGAACCATTTGTTGTTTCATGGCAACAGATAATTATATGTCAGGTCTACTGCTGTAATAATGTTCTGTAACAAACACCAAATCTCAGGTGCATCTGGCAATAAAAAAGTATTTAATTTAGACACTAAGGTTCTTCAACTAATTGGGGCTGAACTTGGCTAATCTCACCTGGGTTTACTCATACTTCTTTGGTTATGTTTCAGAAATATAATTAAAAACAAAATGTCCTATGCTATGAGAATAAGCATCAAACCAAAGTGTTATTACTGAATAAGCATCAAACCAGAGTGTGATGCATAGTATGGTGATCTGTGAATGGATTACACAACCAAAAGAAATTTCATCTTTCTTTTTATAGCCAAACATATATAATCTCTTATATACTTGTTTTCAAGATGAGCAATAAGTAATCCTCAAGTCAGAGGTCTCACAGCACTGTTGTTCCATATAACTCATCCTAAATTTACATGGTAGTTTGGGAGACCATGTGTGTCATCTAATAGGCTTTATCTGGAAGCAAAATAAACTTCTCCAGCTTCATGACAGGAGGTAGTTTTAGAACTTGGAGCAAGATGCCCACATAAGTTAGGCTCTTACCTTTCCACAGAAAAGGGGGCAAAGGGTTGCTACCTTCCTTGATGTTTACATTTCAAAGAAATGGGTCCCAGGTCCTTGAGAAAGACATTCCTGAGGTACAAAGGTGGCAAAAAAGGTAACCAGTTTTCAAATAACGTATAAACATTTCAAAAGTGGAGAAAGTATCTTTTTGTAATTGCAAGTTTTCTATAGGAAATGTTATAAGATAAAGGAAGAGAATCTTTTTCATTCAAAAGGGAGAATTAAGCTTTTTACTTTTAATTTTTATTTGTTCTCACAGGCAGGTGTGCCGTAGTCTGGCTAGGCTAAATAACCGAGAGGTGACAAGTGACTTGAAGGTTGAAGCAGGAACTACTTTATTGCCAGTGAACTCAGCAGGAACTGAGAACTCAAAGTAGCGGGCACCCAGGGTAGCAGRAGCCACTTCTCTGCCGGATTGCAGAGGTACATATGCCCAACTAATTACACACAGCTTAACTTAATTGGCATCATTTAGACACAGCAGTCAGTCATTAAGGAATCCTCATCATCTTAATGGCTTGCTGGTGTTACTTCACAAACCACTCCTCTTGGCATACTGCCAGGCGCCATCTTAACTTGGTTGTGGCACCTCATCATGGGTGCACCTTGGTTTGGTGTGCTCACATTTCAGGTGGTCCTGTGGCTGACCTAGGGCAGCTGTGGAAGGCTGACCAGGCAATGTTACATGAGGCCATCCTCCACTGGGTAGCTCAGGTTCCTCCCATGGAAATGGCAGAGGGTAAAACAAAAGTGGAATTGCTTTTCAAACCTCTGCAGTAGTCACATTAGCTAGTTTCTCCTTGCCAATTGAGTTCCATGACTGAGTCCAGAGGCAGAAAGTAAAGGCAGTAAAAAGTCTGTGGAAGTGGGAGAACTGGCTATAAAAAAGGATGAGGAATTGGGATATTTTAATAATCATTTTATCACAAGTGCTGAAAGTTTATGAATTCACTTCTGAATTTGAGTTTGAAGTGTATGCAAAGAAACCTGGTAAAAAAAACTCATGGGAACATGGGTGTAGGGGAAGAGAATTCAGGAGACATGGTGGTCACTGAATGCAATCTTGGATGTGATATACACAGAGAGGCAGATGTCCCAGGAAAATGTATGAGGTAAGAAGACAAGAGCCAGGAGGAAGCCCTGGGACCAAATTCCTCCTTTTTGCTTTGGGCCTCACTACTGGGGAGAAGAGCCCACTGCCCTGTGTAGGTCCCTGTGCTCCTTCCTTTTATTTTCTCTTCCCATAGAACTCCCAGAATTCAACATGAAAACTTCCCCCTGAGTTTTTTAATATCTAGGCAACTCTGGGGTCTCAGGGCTGAAGGAGGCCTCCTGGGGCTACACATCTTCCTTCCTTCCTTCCAGGGATGGGCTCTGACCCTCAAGTGCACATAGAAGGGCCAGAAGAGGATGGAGTGCGCGTGGTGTGCAAACCCTCAGGATGGTTCCCAAAGCCCTACGTGCAGTGGAGAGACCTCAGTGGAAACAAGTTCTCAGCACTTTCTGAGGCCCACACCTAAGACACTGAGGAGCTGTTTAGTGTGGAGGCCACTCTGGTGGTGAGAGACAGTTCTGTGGGGAAATGGGACCTGCTCTGTCCTCAACCCTGTCCTGGGCCAGGAGAAGGCCATGGCTATTTACATCCCAGGTCAGTGCTGCTTCCCATTCCCAGCAGAGCTGTGGGGAGGGCTGGCCTCTCTGAGTGTGCTGGCTCTCCTGGGTGTGCCCCTGACCTGCTGTCTGCCTGGGCCACAGAGCCCTTCTTCCCTCAGGCTTCTCCCTGGAAGCCAGCATTTTCTGTGATCCTGACCATGCTGGGGCTCCTACTCTTGGTTCCTAACTATTTTATCAGAAAAGAACATTCCAGAAGGATGCAGGTGAGGCAGAAAAAGAAGCATCTTCAGTGGCTTAAAGAGGAGGAACAGCAGAGAAAGAAGAGGTGCTGAAGGCCAATGGTATGACCACCCAGGGCAAATGCAGACCTGGTGGTGAGTGGGACAGCTGACAGGGGCCAGGGTATGGGGTCCAGCTCTCTAGGGAGTTCCAGGGTCATAGGCCCAGAGGAGGTGACTCAGGAGATCAGAGAGGACAGGGAGAGACTGGTGGGTTGAGTGGGTGTATACTTAGAATCCTAGCATCAATGTTTTTTTTTGGGGTTTTCCAGGTACACAGACTTTCCTTTTCTAGGGGATGGGGGTTCACAATATTTTTCATTTCCTTTCAGATGAACTCCTGGCAGATCTCAGTAAGTTCTGTTTTCCTCCTGAATTTTCTATGATTTGTTGGTAGTTGACTTTCTAGTTCCTACCTCTCCTAATTCCTGTGTTGTTTTTCAGATCAGAGGAAAGCTGCCTCTCTGTCTGGTAAGTGACATTCCAGCGATTTCTTGTTTCCTCATCCTACTTATGAACTGGTCTTTCCTTTCTTGTTTATGTCTAGGCACAGACATGTGGGTCCCCATCCCTGGAAGCCAATTGGAACCTAGTAGAAGCAAGAACCCTGCTCCCTGGGCCTCCCTAGATCTGCCTGCCATTTCCTACCTAGAGCTTGGAAACCTGGGTGTGATGGTGATCCATGCTCTGTCATGTATTCTGCATCATATTTCAACCCTGGCTTGCTCATTATATTGCTTTTTAGCCTTCAGTGCATCTAGCTGTTGTTCTGCACCTAGAAGCTTAAAGGCAGATAGTAAGATTTCAGTAAATGATCTGTATAAGAAAATGGTGTCAGTAAGTTTAGGAGTGTGGCCATTTGGTTTTCACCAACAAATCCCCATCCAGGGATCATGTTTTATCCAACTCCAGAAGGTGCAAATCCAAGTGGGCTGCTCACCACTTGGTAATGTGATGAAATGAACCAAGTACTTCATGAAATAGTGGTTTTCATTCTCTAGGAATATTTCACGTGTGAAAAGTTTGGCATTTTTACTCCAGAACTCACCTCATATTCCTGTCTTCAAATCATTCTTCATTTTTTGCAATTTCCCAAATATATTTTTTACATTTGAATTTTATTTTTTCATTTTTTGGTGCTAAGGAATGAACCTGGTGCTTCGTGCATGCTAGGAAAGCCCTCTACCATGGGCTATATCCTCACATTTCTCTCAAATATATCTCTGTTAGAAAAAGCCTGGCTACAATAATGCCTTCTGACAATTGTGGAATTACTTATATTTTATTCTTTAAAATCTTTTTACACATAGACTAATTTTTATCCTTAGCAGCAAAACTGAATAAAGACAGATAGAATATGGATTTTTATGTGTTTTGAGGCAGATGTTTTTCTGACAGAGAGAAAGCAGTGGGACAGTGGTAGAAGATGGCCTGTAAAGCAGATGTCTTGATCTGTGGTCCAGGGGATTTCCTACAACACCCTGTGGTTCCTGATACTGCAAGAGTCCATCTCCTTTCTGGGCGCTCTCCTCCTGTGGGTAGTCTCATCTTTAGAATATAGGGGAGGCCAGCGCGGGTACATTCATGCTGAGCAGGCTTATTTTAGCTGTGGTCTCGCCACCGGGTGTTCCCTTTCAGCCTGGAGGAAGGCCCCCCTGTATGCAGGTAAGTGACTCTGATGTTTCCTTGGCCTTCCCTCCTCCAGGGTCCTCCTCTGACCTTCTGTATCAATGGCCTCCACTCAGGATGGGATGGGTTTTCTGCTCCCTTTTCTCTAATTTTTTTTCCCACCCCTCCCAGTAAACACTTTTAATTTCTATTGTTTTTTATAATCCTCACACATTAATCTGCCCCCTGTCCACATTAACCAAAAGCCAAGCACAACAGGAAAGCAAAATTCTCCTAAAAGGATAAAAAAATGATTGTTACTTGCATTGGAAGACCACAGGGACTTCTCCTTGGGATTGCACCACAGAACTCACCTCACATTCATGTTCTTAAATTGTTATTCAAAATTTAAACATTTTTTTAGTTGTAGGTTGACACAATACCTTTATTTTATTTTTATGTGGTGCTGAAGTTTTAACCCAGTGCCTCACACATGCTAGGCAAGTGCTCTACTTTTGAGCCACAACCTAGTCCTACTTCATTCTTCACTTTTGGTAATTTTCCAAATGTGTTTTAAAATTTTTATTTTATTTTTTCATGTTGTGGTGCTGAGGAGTGAACCTGTTCTAGGTCCATTCTCCCCTGCAGGTTAGTGTTAGCTGTACTCCCTGAAAACATAGTTTTATACTGGTATTTGTTGTTGGTGCAGTGACACTGCAGAGTTCAGTTGTGGGCAGAGCCTGGATGGAGCAGGGTTGGAACTGTGGATAGGAATTGCTGGTCTCCATAAAATTTCAGAAATCATATTTGACAGCTTAGGACTAACATCTTCCTAATGTGGGTCTTTGGTTCTGTATTCCCTTCATCCCAGATTTCACTCTTTGGGTCCAGGGTTGATTTTCTTGTTTCTTCCTGGTCCTCTGGATGTTGGTCTTCTCACAGCCATCTCCTACTCTGACTCGTTTTCCTAGCTGGGTTTCTTCTAAGCACAGTGGTTGCTGTGAAGTGAGTTTCTGGTATTCTTAATTTGGGGTTCAGGATGCTTAGGTGGTCTGGGAACTAATTAAAATTATATGCAACAATTTGTGTTTGTGTTACATGAACAAAATGCAAGTTATAATGTTCACAACAATTTCTCTGCTTTTAAGAGAATTTTGCTTTTCCTGTTGGGCTTGGTATTTGATTTTTTTTTATTTTAAATGTGAAGATCATAAAAGAGAAACCTGGAATTTAAAATTGTTTACCTGAGAGAGGGTGTGGAACAAATCAGGGAAGAAAGGATGAGGTGGGAGGAGAGAGGAGGTGAGAAGGAAAGTAGAGTGCCCAAGATTCATAATGAAATTTTGGGTGTGCTGAAGCAGTGAGAGCTGGAAAATCACATCCAAGGTGGTTTGAGTTGAGTGTGAAGAGGATTTGCAGGTTATTTGTGTGCATGAATTATGACCACCTCCTTGATACATCTTTGACAGTGTTCAATGAATACATTGTGTGTGTTTGAATGTGTGTATGTGAATTCTATTAAGCCATTTCTTTTCTTTTTTAAAAAATATTTTATTAGTTGTTGGTGGCCCTTTATTTATTTTTATGTGGTCTGAGTATTAAACCCAGTGCCTCACACATCCTAGGCAAGTGCTCACTGAGCCACAACCCCAATACCTATTAAGCCATTTGTAAGTAATCATCTCATTGAGTTTGCTTGTGAGAATGAGAAAACTTCCACCTTCTAGTAGTAGTTAGGACAGGCATATGCTAAGGCAGTTCCAATGCAATGAAAGATTATCCAGAGAACTCTTTAACTGTGGGGGTGAGTTTAGGACCTGTGCCATTTGAAATTGTATAATATGCCCTTTTCCTGCTCTGGATGTTTCCTTTTCACATCAGGGATATAGACTGTGAGAGACAGAGAAGGGTGAGCCATGGAGTCAAGGAGGCTTTGGGATCAGTTGTATGAGGAACACTCTATGAGAATCTTAATGATTTTCCTGGTGACATGTTAATTATTAAAGAAGGATCAACTACTCTTTTTTTTTTTAACCATCTCCTCTTTCTCTGCTGAACTAATGTCTATATGGTTTCATGTAAAACTTGTGTTCTTTTTTATTTTGTAAGGATAAACACCATTACTATACTAGAATCAACACTGTCATATTGACAGGCCCATAGTGTGAGGTGGACAAATGTCTGATCTCATCTTGTTCATGAAATTGTAACAGTGAATTATAAATTCAAATTTTCTGTGCAAATTATGTGAAGAGTGCATTATGGCACATAGCATGATACTTGATACACTGGGAAGTATCTAAAGTTATTTTTTCTTTCACTCCTTTTTTTCTCCCCTGTCTGCTTCCTTCTCTTTACTTTTCTTCTTCTTTGATAATCTCAGTAGTTATTATATATGAAATTATAATGGGATTCCAACTAATGTCTTGGTGAAAAATGAGCAAAGTTAACTTTTCTCCATGGGTCATCTGGGTCAGCTTAGTCATTTTATATGATCTAGTTTCTATGAAGCAACTCAACAAAGATGGAATTAGCAATGTATGTGATTGAACTTGTATTAGCAGAAATGGGGGACACAAATTTAAACCTTTTTTTTGTTTTTGGTGCAATGCTGTAAGAAAAAAATTTTCTTATAATATAATATAGAGAAAATTAGAATCACAGGGTCTAGCTTTGAGCCCAGAATTCACCACTGTCTGGATGTGTGGCCTTGATTGAGTCATTTACTCTTATAACTACTTTCACTTTCTTAATCTAAACAATGGGAAATGCCCCCTTTGGCCCTTTTTTAAAAAAAATTTATATATGACAGTGGAATGCATTACAATTCTTATTACACATATAAATCACAATTTTTCATAACTCTAGTTGTATAAAAAGTATATTCACACCAATTCGTGTCTTCATTTCTGTACTTTGGATAGTAATGATCATCATATTCCACCATAATTAATAACTCCATGCCCCCTCACTTTCCCTCTAACCCCTCTGCCCTATCTAGAGTTTGTCTATTCCTCCTA